TAGAATGGAAGGCTTGCCAAGCACAACGAAAAAATGAGGGAGGCTCTCGAAAAAGGCCATCATGCGTGCAGGAGGTAAGTGATAGGCTCTAGCAAAAAGGTGGCATTGCAGAGGGAGCCTAGTGGGAACAAAGCAACCCGACGTCATTGTAGCGTGGTGGAAGGTTGAAGCACCGACGTGTGGCAGTAGATATGGCTCGCAGGATAAGTGCCACTCATGTGCTTCTGCTGCTGCTATTCCCCTCTGTTGACATCAAGTTGCTGCAATCTGGAGCAGGACTGTGGTTGTACAATTGCTTGAAAGTCTGCCTCAATAAAAAGTTATTGAAAGGCGATTGACTTCTACAGTGGCAAACCAAGATGAGGGAAGTAAGAGGTCGTCTGTTGTGCACTGATGCTGGCGGCTGGTGGCGAAAAATGTATAATTGCAGCCCTCAGGCTATTCCAGATGATGCAATTATGCCATGGTGGCAAAGTAAAGCTAGGGGAGTAGGAGGTCATCTGTTGAGCAATGAAGCTGGCTTTTAGTGGTGAACGGCGTATAGCGACGGCGATGAGCCTATTCGAGGTGCTGCAATCATGGCATGGCCGACAAAGCAAGTTTAGAGTGTCATCAGTTGTGCATTGAGGCTGGAAGTCGGGCGGCGAAACATGTATAACAGCAGTGATCAGCCCATTTCAGACGGAGCGATCACAATGTGGCGGCAAAGCAAGTCTTGGGCAGTAGGAGCTCGTCTCTTGTTCACTGATGGTGGCAGCTGGTGACAATCAGTGCGTAACGCCAGTGGTGAGCCTATTCCTAGATGAACGATGTATTGAGGTAGTGATAAGCCTATTGCAGACGCACCGTCGCAACAAAGCAAGTCCGGGACAGTAGGAGGTTGTCAGTTGTGTAATGAAGCTGGCACTTGGTGGCGAACGCTGTATAACAGCAGCAATGAGTCTATCCCAGACGCAGTGATTAGAGCATGGTGGCAAACAAGTCTTGGGCAGTAAGACATCATCAGTTGTGCTTTGAAGCTGGCAGTCAGGGGGCGAAAGGTGTATAACAGCAGTGATCACCCTATTCCAGGCGGAGTGATCACACTGTGGCGGAAAAGCAAATCTTCGGCAGTAGCAGCTTGTCTGTTGTTCACTGATGCTGGCAGCCGGTGACAAACAATGTATAATACCAGCGGTGTGCCTATTCCAGGATGAGCAGTGTATAAAGGCAGCGATAAGCCTACTCTAGACACACTGTCGCAGCAAAGCAAGTCTAGGGAAGTAGGAGATCGTCAGTTGACCTGACTTCTTTTTGTTCCCGCTTTGGCTCCCTCTGCGATGCCACCTTTTTTCTAGAGCCTGCCCCCTACCTTCTGCACACATGTACCCTTTTTTTGTGTGTAAACCGAAAAGAAAGGAGCCCTTCTATTAAAATTGAAGCTATGGTCTTCTTATCACTGCATACACTGACTCAGGCATAGGTTAATTTTGTAATCAAGGGAATGCCATGTGTATTCAGCTTATGAGAGGACAACAGAAATCAATGGCATATATACGATTGGCAGCACGACTTGCAGCACAGGGTTACCTAGAAACACTGTTAACGCCCTGCCTGTAGCAGTGCTGCAATGCAGCACGCAAGTGCTTGCACCTTAGTTGCCTTTTTTAACCTTGGCGTCGCTGTCCAGGTTCTTCAACTTGAAGTAAGTCTGACGACGTTCGCCGAAAAAGCTTCATGTTGTGCATTTCGACTTTCAGGCATTTGTTTTAACAAGGGTAGTTATGAACAGTGCCCACGTGAATGGAACATTATTGCTTGTGAAGCGGTCGTTGATTGGACCAGCAGTTGATGCGAATCAGGGTGTACAACCACGGGATCTCAGATGACTTTACACGTCCAAGCATACTAACATATCAGCACTTCAACCATTAATTGTGTGTCCGGCAGTTGTCTTGACCATCCGTATAGTGATGCAAACCAGAGGGATGCTCACTTACACTCTACTGTTTGTCATTGGCCAAATGTGAGAAAGAAATACACATAAAAAAGTCTGTCAGCAATGTTACGACTCTAGTGTGGTTCGAATTCGACATTATTTAACAGTCTGAATAGCAACCTGATTTCGCTGCACATAAAAAACAATAAATTTCTAATTTATTTTTGTTGGTGACAGTTGGGGTTCGAAGTAGCACTTGACACTTGCTGGAGCCCTCGCTGCGTAACCGGGGGAGTGACTTGACACCAGAGAATGGAGCTTAGCCGATGTGAGTTTGGTCCAGACTGAGTCACTGGGCATCTTCCTTTCGCCCAAGCCAAAATTCGACTGCTTTGAACTCACATGGCCTTCTCACAAGATTCGTTCGAGTTCAATTCTAGGACAGGGGCCTTTCTTGCGGCCGCACCAGTGCTCAAGGTGTTTACACTGAACTTAGCCCAGTGCTGGGACTGCTGGGCCCGCGTTGGGGACAACTTCTTGCTTTATGCCGGGCTCTCTTTACTGGGCACAAATTTGTTTCCGAGTTCAACTATTGAACTATATGTTATTGAATATGCACAGCCATGACTGCAGTATTATTTATTTTAAAGGAGCACTAACATCAAATTTACTCATGTCAAGATTTTTGCATCAACGAGTAGCTATCGACCCCTAGTAGCGATTCGCGACCTAAATCGCATCTGAGGTATGAATGAATATTTGTAATATTCATTAATCTATCTGCTCTCGAATGCGGTTCAAAATGGGTCGAATGCCCTCCAAATTGTAGCGCTGTCAGTGCTACCTCGCGGCCACTTCGAGACCGCTGCACAGCTGATGCTGCTTTCACAAAAATGGTAACGTCACGCACACTGGCATTTTGTCTGCTAGGAGCACACGGGCAGTCAGTCCACCTGTGTCTCTAATGATGTCGACTAAAACCCCTCCATGAGTTTTCTGCCGGTTAACTTAAGCAGCGCCAACTCATTCTTCCCCTCTCCCTTTAGCCCCGGCCTCGAGAAGGGGCCTCGTACTGCCAGTGAAACCCAACAGGTTCTCCAACACAAGATTTATCCTGTAGCAGCTCGGTGCAAAGTGAAGCGAGAAAATGCAGCTGTTTTTCACAGGCGTCCAGTCCTCCTTCCACATCGGCGCGTACGAAGTCAATCCACTGGCTGCGTTGAGGTTCGGGGCTTGGAAAGACATGAAACACCACACACTTTTCGCTTTTTTCGCACCTCGACATGCAGGTTCTCACTGCGCAGCGGTTCCCCAACATTCTAGCACGCATTGTTACTCTAATGATCATGCTCACGCTGTGGAGCACACCTCAAATTAGTCGATGCGACAAAATGAATCGCACGCACGCTTCAACACAGCTAGGAGAGCCATTAGTGAGATCATGGGCGGGAGTCGGCTCCAAACACACACAGAGGTCATCGACGTCATTGTTACTAGAGCATCGTCAGTCAGAATGGTATCTGTGGAATGTATAACACCAAACACGTAGCACTAGTGTCGATGTCGCAGGGCAGTCTATCTTCTGTTTTTTTTTTCCTTAGCTTTTTTACGCTGTTTGACATCGAATTAAAATAACTTTCAGGCGACGGATGCCATTCAAATATGGCTAAGAAGACGTATGCATACCAAGCATTGAATGATGGGCACATCTCGGTCTTGAAATTGGATGTCAGTGCTCCTTTAATGTTCCAAATATGTTCAGAAATACCTTGTGATTTACATATTTACCTAGAGTACCATGTAGCAGGAAGCACAATTCTGTGAGAACATCTAGATTATCTGTAAAGGCAGACAAAACTTGTACAACAAACTGTGATGTAGTTGGTGAATAGATATCCTTGTTAGTTAATTTTTAATACTTTGGGACCCATTTTGAAGTTTAGAGTCTAAGCCACTGTGTAATGGATATGTAAATGAGCGTAAATGTTTTCGTAGCACCTATTCAGGGAGTACGCAGTAAAAACAACTAACGCCTGTCCACTTTGCATCATCATTTTCTCATTGAATATCCCGTTCGAATGGGAGTTTGATCATTATGAACTCTTTACTGCACCTATATTATTCAAACTTTCTATAGCTTACTGAACTATTCCTAGTAGTGAAAACTTTCACATTGTACCTCAGGAGATTGGCACCGCAAGAATGAGCAGTAATCATCGTTATATCAAAATAGTGGGTACTCAATGGGTGCAGAACAAGACGGGGCGGGCTTTGGCCGCAGAGCAGGAGAGTCCTTGCTTTGACATCACATCAACGCAGTCGCAGCGCCGCCAGTGTTCATTCTAGGGGCTAATATACTCCACCAAGGTCTGAAGGAAACTGAAAAGCAAGAAAAATAAAAAATGTGCAAAAATGATCAGCTTGCGCAGAGGTAATAAAAATAATCAATGAGACAGAAATGTTAACTTCTTCAGAAGGAGGGAAATCGAGGAGAGGCAGGCACATGCCTTGCCGTCGTTTTCGATATGACACACTTCAGAAATGAGACAAAAAAGTTGAATCTGTGCAAGCCGCAATCATTAAAGAGAGAGTTGACTACCCCTAGTCAATGCTGTTGTTTGTGTCCTTTGTTTGTCCACTACTTTTTCACTGGAGATCATGAACCAGCAAGCCCAAATGCATACCCTACTGCAGGAATAAAGCAGTAAAAACCAGCTTATCTAATTCAATTGTCATTAACACTTAATTTGTTCACTTAAAATAATTGTTACCCTTAACATAGGTACTTTTTATATGACGGCACTCTTCCTCACAAATTGCTGTGTCTATGTGAATGCAGTGGTGTGAGGAATACACAAGCAACCAATATTACAGTGGTGGTGTCTGTCCTGGAGTGTTGCTTTCAAAAGTAGACAAATTCAAATCCATTTAAACTGCTTGCCCACAGTGTTCATTGCAATCAATTGCAACCAGTAGTAGTCTGAGATGACTATGCTATAACATTTTTGCTTGTAAGGAGAAATGACTCTGTGTTGTGCTTTAGATCTGTCTTGATGCTAAGAGCATCATGTACTGTGTGCAGCAGCATCCAGGAGCTGTGACAGGCGGCTGTGGGACCTGCTTCGCTGGAATCGCACTCCCGTCGTTGAAGACGGGACCGATCGGCAGCATGTTGCGGCTGCGCCGCACACTGTTGTGTGTCAATAAATTGGAGTGGGCGCCCAGAAAAGCCACACTCCCACTTTGTTTTGCTGTACTTCTTTCACTACTTTTCTATAACCTATTTTATTGTGATAGAAATTCTATGAACACTCTCGGCTGGATTTTGCACCGGCCTCGACATCACTCTCTGTATATGTATACATATCTATATATGAAAACACAAAAAAGAAAAATAATTCAGTAAAAAAAACTTCGGCGCGTGGAATCACACTTGGGACTTCTAAACGCGAGTGCGAGGCGTTAACCACAGAGAGGAACATCCTTCAACGTTCAAACGGCAAGCTATTTATATGTACCACTTACCGCTGTTGACGGGCATCTCGGGGGCAACTATCGTATTTTCAGCATTACCAGCAAGATGGCGCCATGAGTGCGTCGTCACGATGCGGCAGTGCGTGCTCTACTCCCATGCGTAGTGTGCCCCAGAGAGAGGAGAGGAGTGGACACTAGCTCGCACACCCTTATCTCGTGGTGGAGAGGATCATGTCTTAGCTGGCCTTGGGATTTGACCGGAATGATTCTGTTGTAGTAACTGGGCGCACAAAGGTCACTGCAATTGTTACACAGTCTCAGTATGCGAAAAGGGCACGCTTTTCAGACACAGCGAAATAACAACGGAAACGCTTGTTCGCGTTCATCTGTACCTGTAAGTACGTTTTGTGCATCATTTGTGCGTGAGAAACGTGGGGCACGTTTCGATCTGTTTGCCATTCTGCGCGTGACCTTTCACTTTGTTGCTATTGCGTTCATTGCTTATATATATATATATATACACTCATATATAAACTGGTGGGGCCCGACAGCATGCAGCCACGAGGAAATAACATTAAAGATATGCCTATGCTCGAATAATGATGAGATAGCAGTTGAACGTGGTTCATCTGCTGTGCGCTGATGTAGTCTCGACCGCCGAGTTTTTCTAATGGGAACGCGGGCACGGCCAATGATGCTTCGGAGGTCGCCAGACAGCGACACTCTTGAGGCGCGTTTGCACTAGAGAGACACGACACTGACATGACCCCGATGAAGACGCAAACTATCGACCGACGAGTCACCAGGCCCCATGATCACACTAGGCCGACGACGACGCTTCAAAAGACACCATTTCATCGTAGTGTAACATGATGGCAGACCGAAAACACCAGCAAAACGCATCCGCAAGCCTGCCGTCAGCTTGTCTTTGGGAAATGTACGGCTTAAGGAAAATAGGCCCTATGTCTTTGCTTCAAACCAACGTGAAGTGGGCAATCTTGAAAGAGTTAACAATGCCCTCTCCGAGGCCCCCGCGGCGTCTGACTAGGCAGCTTGAGCACCCATGTCCTTTCTTCCTTTCCGTATTGTGTCCACCACTCCCATCGCTCGTCACCATAGATTATGGAGGGGGCTGTGCTGAGTAGCCAGAGAGAGATAAGGGCAGAGCAGGGAGCATGGCTGAAAATAAGCTGCCGGTGTACATGTTTGGTCAGTGTCCCTGCATGCGCCTTCAAGGTGACTACAAAATTGACCAACGAAAGACTGTGAACATGACAAGGTGCGGGCGGAGTCTTCGAGAGACCACTGGCGGACTGTTTGTGTCTGCAGTGTACATACGTCGACGACAAAAGACAGCCCGCAAACCAAAATCGATGTCTCGTCTCTATAGTGCAGACGCGCCTTTAGGGACCGTGTAGAATTGCGGTATAGCTACCTTTAGGTAGCAGAGTTTCGCCACTGATAGAACTCGCCGCTCGCGCTCCAATTCGCCCAGCGCGCTCACGAGCTCGAAAAACGGCCATTTTAGGGAAAGCCAACTTCACGGCCGCGCTACAGTGTACTAGGAGGGGGCAGTAGAGTGAACGAGGCGGCCGCGCCATATCTCGGCTGATTCTCCGGCGAGTGACATTAGCGGCGACGCTGTAGTCTCATGGTACTCAAGATCTCAGGAGCGTCTGCATTGGGAGCGCGCACGCCGTAGACTGCTAAAGCGTGTATTTGCTCGTTCTAGCGCGTTTAATGCGTTTCTGATCCTTCGTCACAGTATGCACACCTACTAAGCGCCAATGGTGCACGAGTGATTATGCAGGCATGCCGTAATTGCGGCGAGACATGCACTCTTTCAAGATCCTGCCGACAAAAAAAAAAAGGAAAATGTACAATCGGAATTTGCACAAACCCACCTAGCTTCTCACCCAAGCAGCGCGTTGAGCTGCGCTACATCATAAGTGGCTACTGGTGAACTACAAAGAGATAAGTATCGAAACCGCGATTAAATCATGCGCTCGTTTTCTCATATCAAGAGTACTGTTCCTCATATAAGTCCACATGCGCTCGATTGTTTCATGAGAAACCGTTGTCACAACATTTATATCGGTTATATCAGGCCACATTTGCGGAAGATAATAAAAAATGCTTTCTGAAAGGCTTTCTTGATTTAACCACATGTTTTCGCGCTCACTTTGCTTCTTTTATGCAAGCTCCAGGAGGCCGAGCCAGGGAGTCGAGCTTAAGGAACGCCCTCCTAGTCAAGAACTCTATGCGAAAGGGGTTATCTTAAATATATATTAAAAGTGGCAGTTGTATATATTGTCACGCAGCAAAAGACGAAACAGTTGTCTATAACGCAGCAAAAGACGAAACAGTTGTCTATAAGGAAAACAAGTTTATTGGAGCGAACCTGTGCTCCCCTAACAACTGAAAGAATACACAGGCGGCGAAGCAGCGGCCGGCAAAACGACGGGCATGCTAGTGAGCGTCGGCGATCGAATGACGCGGCATCGGCTGTGCGGGAATTTATATCTCTCGGCGCGAGGGTTTCTCGAATAGTCGAATTGTATCGAGAACGCCGTGATAGCGTTTGTTAGAAACGCTGTTCGTTCGAACAGCGTTTCTAACAAACAACGCTTGAAGCGTTGTTTCTATCGAACAACGGCTGAAGCGTTGTTCGACAGCGTTTGTTCGAAACGCTGTGGTATAGTTTGTTTGAAACGCTGTGAAAACGGCGATAGCACAGGCCGGCGCAGCCAGGCCGAAAACACAAATAAACAAACCCAATGCATGGTTCGCGGCATTACCCCCCTTCCCCCCTCTAAGAGTGCATCGACCCGATGCTGACATAAGGGACAGTTCACACAAATTAAAATAAAAGTTCGTCATCGTCCGTAGAAAGGTTTTAAGCGAACCACATGGACGACTTCGGGCCGCGTGCGTCGTCGTGATGTACGGGAGTCCCCATCGGGGATCACTTCGTACGTTAGTTCGCCAACACGTCGTAGAATCTGGTAGGGTCCGAAATAGCGTGGTAGAAGTTTCTCACTGAGTCGACGTCGTCGAATGGTAGTCCAAACCCACACACGATCTCCAGGATGGTACTCGGCGTCGGAGATTGTAGCGTCCGACATCCACCAGTTGCTGGTCCGTTATACGAGCTCGAGCAAGCTGGCGGGCCTCCTCCGCACGTTGGAGGTATCCTTGGACGTCGGCGTTGAGGTCGTGGTCTTCTACGTGCGGAAGCATGGCGTCGAGCATCGTAGTCGGCCGTCTTCCGTAGACGAGCTCGAACGGTGTCATCTGCGTGGTTTCTTGAATAGCCGTGTTGTACGCAAACGTGACGTACGGGAGGACTTCGTCCCACGTCTTATGTTCAACGTCGACGTACATAGACAGCATATCCGCGATTGTCTTATTGAGCCGTTCCGTTAGTCCATTCGTTTGGGGGTGGTACGCCGTCGTTCTTCGGTGATCTGTGTTGCTGTAGCGTAAGATTCCTTGCATGCGCTCCGCAGTGAAGGTCGTTCCGCGGTCCGTGATTAGGACCTCAGGGGCTCCATGTCGCAGCACAATTTGGTTAATAAAGAACTTTGCAACTTCTTGTGCAGTTCCCCTAGGAAGAGCGGTGGTCTCTGCGTAGCGCGTCATGTAGTCTGTCGCTACGACAATCCATTTGTTAGCGGATCGAGATGTAGGGAACGGGCCCAGAAGGTCCATTCCCATCTGTTGGAAGGGCCTCGTTGGGACGGCGATCGGCTGCAGAAGTCCGGCTGGTCTCGTCGGTGGGGTTTTTCGTCGCTGGCAGTCACGGCAGCTCCGGACGTAGTGAGTGACATCGGATGTAAGGCGGGGCCAGAAGTATTTCGCCTTGATTTTTGTAATCGTGCGAGCTGTTCCGAGATGTCCGGAAGACGGGTCGTCGTGGCACGCTTCCAAAATTTCGTCACTAAGGTCTGCGGGGATGACAAGTAGATAATTCGTTCTCGTTGCGGGGTTGAAATTCTTCTTCACTAGGATGGAGTTTTTGAGGCTGAACGCTAGTAAGTTGCGCTTGAACGCCCTAGGCACGGCGACGTTGCGTCCTTCGAGGTGACGCAACGTCGCCGCGAACCATGCATTGGGTTTGTTTATTTGTGTTTTCGGCCTGGCTGCGCCGGCCTGTGCTATCGCCGTTTACACAGCGTTTCGAGCAAACTATATCACAGCGTTTCGAACAAACGCTATCGAACAACGCTTCAGGCGTTGTTCGATAGAAACAACGCTTCAAGCATTGTTTGTTAGAAACGCTGTTCGAACGAACAGCGTTTCTAACGAACGCTATCACGGTGTTCTCGATACAATTCGACTATTCGAGAAACCCTCGCGCCGAGAGATATAAATTCCCGCACAGCCGATGCCGCGTCAGTCGATCGCCGACGCTCACTAGCATGCCCGTCGTTTTGCCGGCCGCTGCTTCGCCGCCTGTGTATTCTTTCAGTTGTTAGGGGAGCACAGGTTCGCTCCAATAAACTTGTTTTCCTTATAGACAACGTTTTCATCCTTTGCTGCGTGACATCTGGTGGAGGTGCGGGGTACATGAACCCTAAGCCATTGCCAAGCCGACAAGCAAGCCCAACACAAAACACAAATAAACAAACCCAATGCATGGTTCACGGCAATATATAGCCCTTTTGTTAATTTGCGTTAATTCACTGAACCCATTTCTCATTTTGTATCAATAGCTTAAGTTGTGCTGCTTTCTAGATATTCTGTTGACGTGACGCCATTGAAAGCCAGCAAATT